AATTAAAAAAAAAATTTTTGCATTTTTTTTTTCAAAATTTAAAAAAAGGAAACATTTTTTCAAGAGAAAATATAAATACATGTAAAAAGGACAGGGGAATCAACGGATCAGGTTTTTGCAATTATTTGGAAAGTTCTAGGAAAAGGAAAAAAAGAGAATCGAACAGAAATAAACGAGAAAACAGGGGGAAAATCGAATTTCGGGGAACTTTTAGACTGGAAAATGAAAATTTTAGCCGAAAAATGCTTCAAAATGCGAATTTTTGGGGTCTAAATTTTACATTTTTAGTCTTAAAATGCAAATTTTCGAATTAGAACCTTAATTTTCAATTAAAAAATAAAAATCAAATTTTAAGGCCTAAAAAATTGAATTTCAACGTTTTGAGCCTGAAAAATGGCATTTTTTAAGCCACGATAATCGGCAGCTGTCTCTATAGCCCAGAATGATAGAGGAGTGTCTAGTCCATTCATTTCCCTATTGTCAGAAGGCCTTTTACAAAGGCCGATGGGCCATTCAGGCGAAAACTTAAAAAAAAATCATGACGTTTTTGAATCTTGGTAAAAAGATAGTTCCTCTGACCCTAATTATCTCGTTTCATGTTATAGCTATCAAAAAGTGGTCAATTGATAAAATGTTGTTGATATTATGATAAACATTTTATCAGTTGACAATTTTTTGATATCTTTCACAGAAACCGAGACACATTGGCTCNAGAGTTGAAAGAAAATTCTTTTCTGAAATTCAAAAAAAAAAGCCACCCACCTGGATTTTGAATTTCCCGCCAGATCCATTTCAATTGTATTAATTGGAGCCACCTGATTACCATTAGCATCTTGCTCATAAATCACATTTAAATGTGACTTTCCCAATAATTATCATAATTAAGTCAATTGAGGAAATTAAGAACATTGGAGCAAAGATAATTTGAGCCAGAATCATATTTACCGTATTCGGAGATTCAAAAAATAAAGCTCCATAACGAATCCCCCGGGTGAGAAGAGCAAAATGAATGATAATTAGGGTAATTATCTTCTTGAATTGGTCCAAATAGGCAATATCGAAATTTAGGGATTTGGTGAAAATTTGATAGTTGAAAATTGGCATTATTAGAGATGCATAGAACATGAATACGAGAATCTGAAAAAAGAAATTTCTGAAATTTTAGAAAATTAAGTTTTCATAATTTTATGATTTTTCGGAGCCGGCGGGCGAGAGGGAGAGGAAAAGGCGCGGAGTGTATACGCCCTCTCCACCATTGTCCTTCATAGTGCGCCGTGGTGTAGTGGCTGCGCGCCACGCTCCTAGCCGGCATGTCGAGGGTTCGACTTCCACCGTGGACTTTTACTTTTTAAATATTTTTTGAACCTTTTCTTCTACTTAAAACCAACTGACTCACCTCTGTCTGTCCATAAAACCAAAAAACCAGTACTCTTGGAGCAATTCCAAAACTACAGTAACCCAAAAGAGGAAAATCATAAAAACTTGATTTTTGGTCGTCTTTTTGACTTTCAACCATCCCAGAAACTTCTTCAAAACGCAATAGAACCCAAAAATGAGCAATGTAGAGCTCGAAATGAAGATGAGCAATCCACCGGCGATGAGAAAATTCAAATAGTTGATTTCGGCGAAAATTAGGTAGAAAAAGTGGACGGTGACAAGGAGGAAGACGACTATGCTGTGGAAAATGGAGTAGCAATCGGTTAGAGTGTTTTTTGAGAATCCACAGATGTCGAACATTCTGGAAAAGGATTGTAGACAAAAAATACGGAAAAATGAACCAAAAATAAGCAAAAACAGTTGATTTTAGGCCAATATACGAGGTGCTTGAAAGTGGTGGCCTAGAAATCCAAATTTTCCGAAAAACTAGTCCATGAATTAAATTTTCTGGAAAATCAAATTTTGGGGTTTCTAGAACAGGTTTGGAAATCAAAATTTAATGATTTTCAGCAAAGTTAGAACAACTTTCTGAAAATTATTTTTTCAAAAATCTGCAAATTTAAAAAAAAAAAAACATTTTTAGAAAAAAAAGGAAATTTACATATTTTCTTACTGTTACACATGTGGTTGTTATTATTTGAAAATTTGAAAAAAAATTATGTACAGGAAATTACAGGAAATTGGAAAAAACGCAATTTATGTTTGGTGAATAACTTTTGTTTTCTTTTGTAATTTCAGAAATCCAAAAAACTGACTAAAATTTTTTGGATTTGTTTGAAAATTTTTTAATAGACTGAACATGACTAAAGCTTCATTTTTGCTGTGAGCAACTTTTTTCTAGCTACCGTAGTTTTCGAGATACGCGCCTTTAAAGTTGACGCGCCTTTAAAGAGGGAATGCCCCTTGGCGCGCCCCAGACGGACGAGAGGTGGATCAACTTTAAAGGTGCATAGCTCAAAAACTACGGTAGCTATAAAAAAGCCGTTGCCTACAAAAATGTGTAAAATTGAAATTTACGCATTTCACTAGTTAACCACTATTGTGTATCTTTCATGAGAAACGAGATAATTAGTCTCAGACTTTTTGCAAATTTTCGAAAAATTAAAACCCTTTTTGTCCTTATGACCTATAATTTTTGAGAAGTTCAAAAAACTTTTTTGGTTTTCTGAAAGTAAAAAATCTCTTTTCGAGTTTATCAGAATTTTCTAGAACTTTATATCTTTTCTCCTAAATATTTGAATTAGTAAATAATTCTAGCTTTAAATGATATTTTGGCATGAAGTAATTGCGAAAATTGAACGTGGAAGTCTTAAAGGTGGGGGGTTTTTCTCGAAATTCCGTTCAAAGATGCCCCTCGAGGAGTTGAACTTGTGGAGGCAAGGATTGAGGGTGTGGCGCCGCTACCGACTGAGCCACGCGGGCAAAGAAAAAGCGCACGCCCGATTGCATACATAAAGGCGAGGACGACATCTGTACGCAGAGTGACATTTAGCGTTGTACACCGTCACGGTAGAATGCATACTCTAGCTACAAAAAAACTACGAAAAATCTCCTGTCCCCCCACCTTTAAAACTTTACAAAATACCAAAAAATTCGTCAAAAACCCATTGAAGTTGACGCGCCCTTCGTCCGCTGGCGCCTAACTGACCGCGCCAACTTTAAAGACGCGTAGCTCAAAAACTACAGTAGCTAGAAAAAAGTTGTCAACTACAAAAATGAAACTCTAGTTTAAATCAGTTGATACATAAATTTTCAGACAATTTCAGCTTTTGCTGAAATCGTTATAAAGTTCTGAAAATCCTAAACCCGGGATAATCGAATTCTTGAGAAACAAAAAAAACGCGCGTGGGAAAAACGAAAAAACGCGAGCAATGAGCTTTTCAGAGAAAGTAGATCAAGAGATCTTTATAATGAGAGAGTCTAGAGAAATCAGAGGAAAAAGGAAAATTGAAAAGAAAAGAATGTATTCTATTGGGATTAAACGGATTATTATTGTTATTTTCCTGATTATAGGTGAATAGAAATAATATAAAATGAGTATTTTTCATTTGAAAATCTTTTATTCGGAGGTTAGAGAGATTTGTATACAGTGGTGACTTCTAGAAGTTTCTGGAAAAAATTTTTCAAATAAAACTTTTGTTTGAAAAAATTATTAAGATGTAGGTAGAACATTATTATTTAAAAATTGATAAAAATTGTAGAACATTATCCGTTAACCGTATTCACTTGGCATCGAAAGTTGATAATTCCAGTGCTGAAAATTTTATTTATTTTTTCAATACAATACACAATCCACAGAAACTATTAGTTTAATAAAGAATTTATATTGTTTATTACCTGTTTAATGATGAACTGTCAAGAAAGCGCTATTATTTTTGACGGCCCGTCTTCGAGGCGCAAATCTATGCAGACGGACCGTCGGCGGCGCGCAATTCGACTGCCGACTGTTCGCTTTTCGGTAGTCCGCGCCCGGCGGTCCCCCTCTACCTGTGCAAGGCCGCGGGTCCGAGCCCGATGGGTGACTTTTAGTTTTTGAACCTTTTTTTTGAACTTTTTAAATCCTAACTCACACTCCTCTCGAAGTTATATAATCGCCATTATTTTGACATGTCAAAATGGAATAATCTTTGCCAATTCCAGGACTTGGAAGCTCTCCAATATGAGGTGTCATACCATCTGCCAGTATTCCCTGAAATTATTTTTAATTTCAAAATTTTAGTACTTTTCCAGACGCACATTCAATGAACTAGACAAAGCAACAGTTCCGGGAGTAGGAGTATAACTACATCTGATAGTAGTTTCTTTACATCCATCGGCAGTTATAGCTTCTCTGGAAAATCATTTTTTGAAAAAAAAACCTTTTAAAAAGTTATTTTCTCACTCTTTCGAAATCATACTTCCTACTGGTATCAACTCTGCTTTGGATAGATCAACTTCTGGACAAGTTGCGCAAGCTGAAATTTTACGAGAAAACATTTATTTAACATTTTTTAAAGCCTTACGTTTCACACAATCCGTAAACTCACATTGTAGTTTTGTGATGCCGGTTCTGAAAATTTGAGAATAACTAGATTTGTCTTGAATTTGTTGAGTATATAGAACAAAACTAGAGCTTCATTTTTGCAGTTCACAACTTTTTTCTAGCTATAGTAGTTTTTGAGATATACGGCTTCAAATTTGGAGCGCCTCTTTGCCTGACGCGCGCCGGACAGACGGAAGGGGTGTCAAATTTAAAGGCGCATATCTCAGAAACTACGATAGCTAAGCAAGTTTCGAAAATTATTAAAATGTGTAAAACTTGATTTCACATATTTTCGCTGTTGATAGCGTTTTTCTAGCTGCTGTAGTTATTGAGCTATGCGCCTTTAAAGTTGGGGCGCACCCTTTTAAGCGCCGACGAAGGGAGAGGCTACTTTGAAGGCGCACATCTCGAAAACTACGGTAGCTAAAAAAACTTGTTAACTACAAAAATAAAGCTCTAGTTTTGTTATGTATGCTGACGAAGTTTCAAAAATCAGGAACAAGTTTAAAGCTATTTTGAGAGTCTGAAAATCAGCCAAAAAACTTTTTTCTAAAAAATGTTTTAAAATACTTTTCAACAATGCTTTGGGTTCTAAAAAAAACAAATTTCTCTCACACTGCTCCAGAAGTGTATGTTCCATCTTCTGCACAACTTAAAGTAGCGTCTGCTTATCCACATTAGCTCTCATCCCAATAACTTCTGCTGCAGCACCCGTCATTGCCTGAAAACTTAATAATTCCAAATAGGGTTTTTTGAGTCTTTGAAAAGTTGAAAACAAGTTCAAGGCTTACGACCCCCAGGTATACTATCAGGTGGGTCTCTAGATACTGTAGTTTTTGAGGTATGCGCCTTTGAAGTTGACGCGCCCGTCGTCATTCCCCTGGGGCGCGTTTACTTTAAAGTCGCATAGCTCAAAAACTACTGTAGCTAAAAAAAGTTGCTAACTAATAAAGTGTGTAAAATGTAATTTTACATATTTTCAAAGTTTTCCAGTGTTTTCTATAATATCTCTTGTTTAAAGGCGCATAGCACAAAAACTGCGGTAGCTTGAGAAACGTTGTCAACTACAAAAATGAAACCCTGTTTTTGTTTTAAATACTGAAAATTAAAAATTTTGACAATTTCAACACTTACGAGCAGATGGAGCATTTGTTGGTGGTAAATTATCAGGTGTAGAAGTGATATAAACTTCTTCTGGTGGTATCGTTCTAACACAAGCTTCAGAAAAATAGAAGGAAATCAGAAAAATTGAGATTCGGGGAATCATTTTGACCTATAAAAAATTGGACCTAAAAATTGGTATTTGAAAAATGGAGGATGACTTTTTGTGGGCTTGAAAAAGAGGATTATATTTAGGGTTTTGCCATGAAATTTGTACGATATAAAGAACAAAAGTAGAGCTTCATTTTTGTAGTTGATAACTTTTTTCTATCTACTGTAGTTTCTGAGATGTGCGCTTTTAAAGTTTGCGCGCCTTTGTGCTTGCCGCTGGCGACCAACTTTAAAGGTGCATAGCTCAAAAACTACAGTAGCTCGAAGAAAGTTTTAAATTATTAAAATATTTAAAATAACATTCTACACATTCTCATAATTTTTTAAACTTGCTTAGCTATCGTAGTTTCTGAGATATGCGTCTTTAAATTTGACACGCCTTCCGTCTGTCCGGCGCGCGTCAGGCAAAGAGGCGCTCCAAATTTGAAGCCGCATATCTCAAAAACTACTATAGCTAGAAAAAAGTAGCGAACTACAAAAATGAAGTTCTGGTTTTGTTTTGTATACTGTGAAAATTTCAAAAAAATCGGAAAATTTCCAAGTTTCATTTTGAACTAGAGAAATGCAGAATCACATTCTGGAACAACAATTATCAAAAAGGAAATAGATAGTGATGTGAACAAGACTAGATATATTCTATCCAATATCTAGGGCACAAAACGTATCGCTTTGCACGCAAAATGTCTCGAGAAAGTGATAGCGAACTTGATAAGATCAAGAAATCGGAGAGGAAAATGAACCGCTGATGGGGGGAACGATAACACAAATTTTGAATTGTATTCTTGTTTAGAACATAAATTTGAATTCATTTTACACCAAAAGATGACCTAAAATGTCAAATTATAGGACTGAAACACCACAAAATTGGCTAGCCTAGACGTTTTGAGTATTTGGAAAATATTCAATTTTTGAATCTTTACGAAAGTAGGAAAAACTTCCTGAATGATATTGAAATTTAGAGTTCAAAATTAAACAAAAACTGAGCTTCCTTTTTGTAGTTGACAATTTTTTTCTAGCTACCGTAATTTTCGAGCCATGCGCCTTCAAAGTAGGAGCGCCCCTTTTCGGCACCCCGTTGCCCTGGCGAGGGAGGCGCGCCAACTTTAAAGGCGCATAGCTCAAAATCTACGATAGCTAGAAAAATGAATTAATAAAAAAAACAAAGCACTAGTACCAAGCCTCATTTTTGCAGTTGACAACTTTTTTCTAATTGTCGTAGTTTTCGAGCTATGCACCTTTAAAGTTGGCGCGCCCTTCGTCCGCCGACGATTAATAGGGCGTGTAAACTTTAAAGACGCATATCTCAAAAACCGGAAAAGCTAGAAAAAAGTTATCAACTACAAAAATGAAGCTCTAGTTTTGTTTGCTAAAGTCTAAAAGTTTCAGACGTTTTCAGGAATGTTCGAATTACTCAAATTTGGAAAAAAAATGGGGCAAAAAAATTCAAAAATCAAAAAGTTTATTATAGAAAAGTTTTTACAAAGAGAAGAAAAAAAAAGAACAACACAACTGAATTGAGATGAATTTAAAAAAATATATAATTATTTTAATTATGGACAACCACTGAAGTCACAATACAGTCGAGTGATATCCGCGCTGAAATTAAAGAAATATTATAATTTTCAAAATGAAAAGTGTTTTTTTTTCTAAAATTTTCTTTGTCAACTCACAAAAATACAGAAGCGTATTTTTCATTTTCCTGACAAGCCAATTCCCAAGTTAGCTTGTTAACATTAGTTTGAGTGTCCAGAGTCTCAGTACTTCCCGGAAGGTCGGCCTGGAAATTAAAAAAAAATAAAATTAATTTTAAAAATATTGTAAACTCACTCTAAGCACAATCGAAGCACAAGATCCCATGTTATCCGTTTCACATGTTATTGTTGTGATTTTGCAAAGATCTTCTCTGTCTCTGGAATTTCAGAAAAATTCAAATTTCAAAAAAATTGCTTTCCAGAATTTTCTCAAAAAGCTCACATATAACTGAAAGTGGTACCTCCTGGCATTGTTGGTTTGATTGCTTCAATGTCACAGTTGAAACAAGCTTAAAAATCAAACTTTGGAAAATTTAAAAATTTCACTTTTTTGATCCCAAAATTTATTTAAGAGCCCAATTTCTAAAACTCTGAAAACTGTTTTTTGGAAATTGCAGCTAGTTTTAAACAAAAAAAAGTTGGGTTAAAATCAACAAGGGCTTCATGTTTGCAGTTGTCAACTTTTCTCTAGATACTGTAGTTTTTGAGGTATGCGCCTTTGAAGTTGACGCGCCCGTCGTCATTCCCCTGGGGCGCGTTTACTTTAAAGACGCATAGCTCAAAAACTACTGTAGCTAAAAAAAAGTTGCTAACTAATAAAATGTGTAAAATGTAATTTTACATATTTTCAAAGTTTTCCAGTGTTTTCTATAATATCTCTTGTTTAAAGGCGCATAGCACAAAAACTGCGGTAGCTTGAGAAACGTTGTCAACTACATGAATGCTAGTGAACGTAACCTCCTTTATGGTCTCTCCTCTCTAGAACACAGGCGACAAACAATTGATAAAAAACTGATATCTAAAATAATGTTAGGAAAAGTGGGTCTAAACCAGAATGACTTTTTCCAAGTGTCCACAAATAATCGAACAAGATCAAAATCAAGGTACAAATGGAAAAGAGCTAAAACAAAAATTAGGCAACAATTTTTCGTCAATAGGGCGCTTAGTAAAATGATTTAGTTACTGCTGAGCAATTGCTCAATTTTCTGGCCCTACTCTCTGTCCTCTATTCTATGTATTATTCTATGTTCATTTATGCTTGACATGTCTTATTCTCCTCTCCCTATTTCTTTTTAATGTTCACTCTAGTTCTAGTTCATTCTATTATTTTACATTTCCTATCACTAGAATTCATTATTTATCCATTTGGAATCTGATTATCATGTATTTTAATGTTTTTTTCCTTTTTTTCCACGATTCTTGCAATCGTAAATAAATAAATAAATAAATGAAACCCTGTTTTTGTTTTAAATACTGAAAATTAAAAGTTTTGACAATTTCAACACTTACGAGCAGATGGAGCATTTGTTGTTGGAGGGTTTTCCGGATTTTCGGGATCCTCTATAATTGGTCCTTGCGTAACTACCGGCACTATCGGAATAGGTGGACCAGGAAAATTATCAGGTGTAGAAGTGATATAAACTTCTTCAGGGGGTATAGTTCTAACACAAGACTCAATTAGGGGTACTTGAAGGGTAATTATTACAGTTAATGATTGGAAAAGCATAATTACGTAGCAAATGAGGCAAAAAAAGAACAATTTGTGATAAGAAAATGGGTGTGGATGAAACAAAATGTTACATAACGAATTCGCCAAAAAAACCTGCTTTTTTGGGATCAATTTCGTGTCTGTTTCCTTGTGACTACGATTTTTGGTCATAGACACTAAGAAGAAAATCTGGAGATTTGTGTCTATTTGGACTCAAAACGACCAAAAAATCAATTCTGGGAGGTCCGAAAACTTAAAAAAATCGCTTTTCCTCGAGTTTTTGAAAAAATGCACAGATGGCTCAGTGGGGTTTTCCATTATTTTACTACCAATCTGACGATCCGGGTGCGATTCCACTCGGTGGAAAAATCGTTTTGCTTCGTTTTCCAGAGCATTTTCGGAGCGTTTGAGAACATTCTAGATGTCAAAAATCGGAATTTTCAAAAAAAAAAAATTAAAAGATCACAGATTTTCAGAAAACCCAGAAATCCAAATACATAGATTTTCAGACCAAATTTTTTTTTGAGCTACCTTTTTTTTTGATCTACCATCATTATTAAGTTCAATAGTTATTAGTGGAGGTACCTGTTTTTTTTTGATTTTCATCATTTTTGATTTTTAAGTATTTTTAGTTTCAACAATTTCTAAAATTTCCAGAAAATGAGCAATCCACCAATCACAATGTACCAACGACATATTCTAGCTCAACTGATAGAATCTGGACTTTCAAATGATCAAATAATCAATCAATATCGTTTGATCTACGCTCGCAACCAAGAATTTCTGAAGACGTGGACGTCTTCTGAATCATCTGAATCCTCAAAAATGTCTTCTGGAGATTTTGTGACGACATCTTCCAGAATTCCAGAACCTCCACCGAAAATTCCAGTGATTTTCCGGAAAATCGATAATTATGATGAAAATTATGATCCACGAAGACTGGGAATATTGTTGAATTTGAGCAAAAAGAATCTGGGAGAACATGTGAGGAAATGGAAAATTGCTATAAATTTGACAACCGCAGAATTGGCTGGAAGAGTTGGTAGGTTGAACTTTTTCGAATTTTTTCAAATTTTTTTAAAAATTGGATTTTTTGAAATTTTCGATTTTTGACATCTAGAAACTTCTAGAATTGCCTTAAATGCTCTAAAAAAGTAGCAAAACCTTTTGCCGCCAAGAGGAATCGAACCTGGGTCGTCAGATTGGTAGTGGAAATTTCGGAAAATCCCACTGAGCCATTTGTGCATTTTCGGAAAAATCGCTCAAAAACACAAAAAAAAGAAATCTTGAGTGCTAGAAACTATTTTTATCATTTTTTCCGAGAAATTTGAATCTAGAATAGGTATTTCCATCGAGTTCGGAAAAAAAAACTTTTTTTCAAAAATTAGGATTTTTTGAAATTTTCGATTTTTGACATCTAGAAACTTCTAGAATAGCCTTAAATGCTTTAAAAAGGAAGAAAAAAAAGGTTTGCCGCTTAGTGGAATTGAACCTGTGTAGTCAAATTGGTAGTGGAAATGTTGAAATATCCCACTGAGCCATTTGTGCGTTTTCTGGAAAATCGCTCAAAAACACTGGAAAACGGAAATTTCAGAGTTAGAAATTAGTTTTATGGCCTTTTTTGAGTAATTTTGATCTAGAAGTTATACTTTCATCAAGTTTCGATGAAAAACATTTTTTTGGAATTTTTTTTAATTTTCAGGTGTCTGCACTACGACAATCAGCCGATTTATGCAAGGATCCGACCGAATTTCTGTTCAAATGGAGCGAAAAATTTTAATTGGCTGCATGAGAATCCAGGATCATTATGATTTTTTAAAGGTAATTCACCGTAAACACTCTAATAGAACGCCACCCATATCGTCAAATTCGAGCGTACATATGTATCTCATTTTCTGTAAGAGATAGCAAAAAGTGGTCAACTGATAAAATGTTGCTGATATCGTGATTAACATTTTATTAGTCGATAACTTACCCTTTACTTTGAGCTTACATATCTCACTTCTTTTGAAAGATATCAAAAAGTTGTCGACTGATAAAATGTTTATCATGATATCAGCAACATTTTATCAATTGACCATTTTTTGAAATCTATTACAGAAAATGAGATACATGGGCTCAAAGTGAACGGTCCGGGTGGCGTTCTATCAAAGTGTTTACGGTATTTTTTGGAAAAAGTTTTTTGGAAAAACTTTTGAATTTTTTCAAAAAAAAACCTATAATTTCAGCACCAACGCCGCCGTCTACAGTACCTCCAACGCCTTCAAATTGGCAATTAATTGAATTGATTAATTGGATATTTAAGTATACATTTTTTGCATGTTTCATTTTTTGGGAAATTTTTAATAAATTTGTTTGTAGTTTGTAGTCTTTGTAGTTTGCCCTTGCTTTTTATACTATGATTTCATTTAGGGGTTACCTGAAATTATATATTACATATAAAATTTTCTGTTCTCAGAAAAATAAAAACTTGGGGGGAGAAAAATAAAAAATACTAATTATTTTTAGGCCCCCAGGTGGTTTTGGTTGCCCCTGGCAACCGTTTTAAAAACAGAAGCAGAGAAAACTTGAGATTTCTTCTGATATATACAACTTTCTTTTTTTTCTTTTTACTTTTTGCTTTTTTTAGAAACAAAAAAAATATATATATATATATCTACCGTAAACACTCTAATAGAACGCCACCCAAATCGCCCACTTTGGAGCCCATGTATCTCATTTTCTGTGAGAGATTTCAAAAAATGGTCAACTGATAAAATGTTGCTGATATTATGATAAACATTTTATCAGTTGACAACTTTTTGATATCTTTCAAAAGAAGTGAGATATGTAAGCTCAAAGTGAAAGGTCCGGGTGGCGTGTATATTAGAGTGTTTACGGTATATATATACAGGGTGGCTGAAAAGTATTGAGACTTTGTTTAGACTCAATTTCTTGAAAACAGAAAACCTGATGACTATGACTGCTAGTTTTTGCGAATAATGATTATTTTTCTAGTTTACATTTAGAAGGAAAACCTTGAATACCTTAGTTTTACCTAGTTAGAACATCAAATGTGATGTAGAAATATGAGCGACTCGCCGCACCTTGTTTTTAGTACTTCATGATGTAACCGCAGATTGAACAAAGGTTGAAAGTTCATGCTTTCAATATAGTTGGAAGAACTCTTCTAGATAATGCTCCTAAAATTTTAGATACCTCGATAACCTCTATTTATAGATATGAGTGATATCATGCAACCGACCAAATGACTCAAAAATGGCTCAAATTTTCAATGTTCCAGTTCAAACAGATAGAGTCAACAAAATGTTTTGAAACTTCTCAAATTATCATTTGTGCACATTTGAACAATTTGACAGTGAAAATCTTTCAAGCGATCCGGGTTTTTATCAAGATATGCCCTTTCGAAAAAAGCTCATTTAGTACTGCGCGGCGAGGCAAAAGTTGAGTTTGCGGTAATGCTCCTGCGGCCTACAAAATGACTTCAAATTGAAAATGAAAGTGTTTGAGACATCAATCGAGAGATGCACTATGCATTCCATGTCTTTAAAGCTAAATTGGACTTGACCTTTTGACACAGTAAATGGTCAAAGATGACCAATTTTGTACTGAAAAAGTAGTCAAATTCAATCAAACTGGAATTGTGATCTTGTTACCAAAAGTAGATACATCTAGTCATCAAAAAATCTTTAGAAGTCTTCCAGTTATCCAAAAACATCAATATTTCTAGAAGGAACCGGCTCGCGCCATTCCAGTGACTCCTTGAAAGTAGTCTCAATACTTTTCAGCCACCCTGTATATATAATTTTTGAGCTCTAAAAAAATGAGCAGCAGTGATAGTGAGGAAGAGTGGGAAACAAGTCGTAGACGAGGCGGCAAAAATCAGTCGGAAAAAAAGAAGAAGTGAGTTAAAAATTCAAAATTTTCGAAAGAAATGTTTATTTTTTGAAAATTATTTTTGTTTGGAATTTTTCAAAAACCCTCAAAAACTGGGCAAAATTGATATAAAACAGCTTGAAATGCTCTAAAAAAGTAGCAAAAAAATTTTGCCCGCCGAGAGGAATCGAACCCGGGTTGTCAGATTGGTAGCGGAAATGGTGAAAAATCCCACTGAGCCATTTGTGCATTTTTTGGAAAATCGCTTAAAAACACTGGAAAAATGAATTTTTCAGAGTTGGAAACTATTTTCATCATTTTTCCTGAAAAATTTTGTCATAGAAATTATTTTTTCATCAAATTTCGAAAAAATTATTTTTTCGAAAATTTCTCAAAAATTATGATTTTTGGAAATTTCGATTTTTGACATCTTTGACATGTTTTGGAACGCTTTGAAAAAATTCTAAAAACGAAGAAAAAAATTTCTGCACCGAATGGAATCGAACCCCGGTGTTCAGAGTGGTAGTGAAAATCCCGCTGAGCCATCTGTCCTTTTTTTTCAAAAACTCCAGGAAACGGATTTTTAGGCGTTTTCTAGCATTGTTTTAGAGGGTTTTGATTTTTATCGTATAAAAATTGTACTTATTCCCTGAAATCCAAAAAAAAATTGAAAAAAAAATGTTTAAGCAAATAAGCTTTTTTTTCAGACCCACCAAATCCTCAAAAATGCACAAATCTCGGTCCAGAAGTCCTATAACTCGTCGGGAATCTCCAAAATCCCGAGAAAGTCGATCATCAAGTCGTGGAACGTTTGATGGAATCGAGTATCTTATTTTTTTGAAAAAAATTATTATAATTTAAGTATCTTAATTATCCAATTATCCAATTATCAATTATTTTCAGCCATTACCATATTTTTTATGACTCAAAACCTCACTTTAAGTTTTAAGTTTTAGTCTTAGTTTTATCTTATTTATTTATATGTCAACTCTCCTGGCGGACATTTCGACAAACAGACACACATACCGTAAAAAAGACCCAACCTTTGACTCAATTTATCTCGGTTCCTGTTAAAGATATCAAAAAGTAGTCAACTAAGAAAATATTGCTGATATTATGATAAACATTTTATCACTTGACCACTTTTTGATATCTTTTACAAGAAAGGAGATATATGAGCTCAAAGTTTAGTGGCAAGTTTGGCGGCTTCAGTATCCTTTTCCCCTTTTTTGTCGTCCAAAACATCTGATTTTTTTAGTGATCCATCTCCACCATCAGCTGTTCTCCGACGGTCCAGTTCTCCACCATATTTTTCATGTGGACAGTGTCGTCGGACGTTTGATACGGTTCGAGAAATTTCCGAGCACGAGATCCGAGACCACGAGTCGCAGATTGTTTGTTTTCATTGTGAGAAGGTTAGTTCGAAAGGAATTGAGATGGTTTTGATTTTAAAATGTAGATCTTGAAAAGAGCTACAAAATGATAGAAAACAAAAATAGATTCCCTTTTTTCAAAGTAGCAATCTAGCATGTTAAAAGCCAGATACCCTTTGTTGCCTAAATGAATCTAGTGCCAGGTTCAGAATTTTGATCATAACTTGCTCTAAGAGCAAAAACTATTTCTCAAAAATATACCAAAATGTAGATCTTGCAAAGAGCTACAAAATCATGTACAACAGTAGTAAATTTCACATTTTCGAAGTAATATTCTAACCTGCTGAAGTCTGGCTTCCTTCTTTTGCTCGAATGAATCTAGTGTCTGGTCCAGAGTTTTGGCCATAACTTGCTTTGAAAGCGAAATCTTGTTTTGTGAGTTATATTAAAATGAAGGTCTTAAGAAAAGCTACAAAATGATATAAGAGTCGATCTATAAAATTCTGAAATTCCCGTGCAAAGAGTCAGGTAAATTTGTAGACAGACTTCAATCACATCTCGTTCAGTGCCTCTGGAGTTGTTGGTTTTGTAGAAATCTTAGCAGAAGTGTTTCAAATTTTCTCAAATTGAGTTTTATATTATTTTGAAGATCTCTTCAAGACCTTCATTGTGGTATATTTTCAAAAATAGGCTTTCGCTTTGAAGCAAGTTATGACCGAAATTCTGAACCAGCCTCTGGAAACAATAGCCCAAAAAAGGTTCTTGGATTATTTCAAGCTTAGTGATGGAATTTTATATAATTTTTATAATTTTGTAGCTCCTTTCAAGACCTACATTTTGGTATAACTTCAATTTCAAATATCCTTTTCAGAAATCAATCACAGTGGATCATCTAGCGAGTCACACGAAGCACCGTCATCCTCCAAAGCCAGTAATGTGTGCCTATTGTCAAGAACCATTTGGAAAAAGTGCCGAATTAATGACGAATTCGGACTGGAAACAATTCAGAGATCACATCGAAAGAGAGGCGATTCGAAAACGCATGTACCGATATGGTACCACTCCCGATACTACCAGTGGACAGGCATTGAGAGGTGTGGGGGCGTGTCCACATGGACCACCTGTCAAGTGCAGGTGATTATGAATAGAAAATTTGAAATCAACTTGTTTTGAGCTTCCAAATGAGTATAAACACGACTATGTTTGAACAAAACGTAACGCGAGTAGGCAAATGCGCTCTATTGATAATTTTTATACAAACCACTGTACCCTCGTTCATTTTGATGCTAGCAGAATGAAACTTGCACCAAAAATCTTAGAATTTTATGAGCTTTAAAAAAATACAAGTTCCAGAAACTTTCCTCAATGCCCTGGCTACAAATGCATCTATTCTCACAACCTATGCCGCTATGCGTCCACATGCAACAAGACCACGTGTCCCTTCGACCATCCGGACCGCCCGCGGACCTGCATGAACTGTATCAGTGATATGAGAATCAGAAGGAATTGAGAAATCTTTTTATATTTTGGACTACATATTCATTTATTTGGAGAAGATAAAACATATTTATTTGGAAGACAGGTTTCCAGTGTCCTCGGATTTTATAAACGGCCCATTTGGCTGGCCAATTCCATTATAACAAAGCCCACAGATACAAGTTGGAGAGTCCGAGTTGGTTGAAGATCGGCAAGAACCCATTAGACAGTTCTGAAAGTTTGTTAATTGCCTAATAATCGAAATAAGCGGAAAATTTGCTTCATTTCGCAGTTGACAACTTTTTTCTAGCTACCGTATTTATCTCGTTTGCTGTAAAAGATATCGAAGTATTGTCAACTGATAAAATGTTTGTGATGTTATGATAAAAATTTTATAACTCTTGCTATGAAAACCCGAGAAAATCAAACATATTTGTCCTAAATTAAAATTAATCATAATCGAATTATAGTTATAATTTTGAATGCCATACGAAATGTTTGAGTTCTTCAGGATACATCTTCTGTTGCACCGA